TTTTTATTTTTTATTTATGGCACAATGTACAGACATCAGATACAGAAAGTGAGGAAAATAAAAACACTTAAAAATTAATACAACAGGCATATCTGTGCCCAATTATTACTGTGCTCAACATTCATTTTAAAACATTTAGATATACTTAAACAGACACTAAATCAATCATAAAAAAAAATTAAATTAAATTAAAATTACAATAATTAATTCGTGGTCAACGATCAAAACTAATTTCTTGACGTTTACCGACCTTCAGGTTGCACCTTTACGATGAAAGTGTCCCAATACAAAATTTCAACTTTTTGGGAATAAAAAAGAAAATAAGATTTCAAGTTTTTTCATATTTTCATATTATTTTATTTATTACCTACTCTTGAAGTACTAAAGGTGATGGCCTTATTAGTCTTTGAAAATAATGAGGAAAAATGGAACTTTACAACTGAAAATTGTTTCTGATCATTTTAATGTTCAACAATTTAAAAACATAATTTACAAAAACTAGTCGCCAATAGGTCTTTTTTTAACGATTTTTTGTTATCATTTAACGTATTAAGAATTAAGTCTTTTTAATGTTCATCAGCTAAGCAAGATGTCATAACCCTTGATATTGTTTTGTGGTCCCTGTTTCACAATTAAAAAAGAAGAAAGTCCACGAAACAAAAAAGTAAGTCCCTTTAAAAAGTAAGTTACTAAAAAAATTTTTTTTTTTTTTAAATATTAAGCGACGGGTCGAACAAGTCGTGTACCCGGTGGAAAGCGTCACGCCTGTCCATAACAGTAGCACTGCCGCTCGAAGGCTACTGCTACGGCGTCCATCTCTCTGAGACATAGTTGACAAGTCCCATGTGCCTGTAATTTCACCAGCACCCTTACCCTTCAAAACTGTAACACGGTAATGTGGCAGTACTACCCTGGACGAACTCACAAGGAGCTCTACTGCTACTAGTGATTTTTGAATATGATTTTCGGAACGAAAATGGCTCAAATGCTAATCCGTCAGTGGCAGCGTGTTGTCTTTGCAAATGCAGATTCAACAACAAATGCGGCGTTAATATTTCGACGCGGGAGTAGAATTTTTAAACTGAAAGAACAAAATGAAAGGGACCTTTATGAATCAGTGCTATTCGAGCTTTAATTGCACAATTTCATCTTCACCACAGTGTGACTAATGTAACAAAATATTTTTTTAAGATGGTTTTACGGTATAAACTCATTTTTTAATTTTTTGATTTGGGTCGCTTTCATTGTAAGGGTGCGAAGTATTAGTCGGATAATTGCGTCATATTGCGTCATGCGTTAGAAGAAACATACCGACTGATTCGCTAGCGGCCATGCGTTAGAACAGTACCGACGGATAGAAAGAGACAAATTTCATTCATTAAAATACAATAGATGAATGCGTATTATTACATATGATATGGTAAAAAGAAACAGAGATAACTTTAAATATGTGTTTTTTAGAGGACATTAATTTATTAATGGATATTAAATGGAAATTTGTGTATTTTGTATGTTTGAAGATATGAAGTTAACGAAACCATATTACGTTATTATGTACTAAGTTTTAAATAATAGTTTTATTATGAACTAGTGTATTTTGGCAAAGTAATCGATAATATTTATTTTTCATTAAATGTTCACACGCATATTACATGAATAAAATAATAATAAATTTAGTAAATTATAACATAGTAATAAGAATATGGCATTAAGTACTTTATCATTTACAATAACATGCCTGAATTTCACAATTTTTTCAAGTTACGTAATTTGGTTGTATTATGATACTCAATAGAGATGTGATGTGACTATTTATTTTCGTTAAATGACATCAGCTGATCGAAACTGTTCATGGCGAAATTTCCATAAATAACGTAGTTTGTACTAAAACAACTTTGCTAAATAGTTTCATACCATTAACTGAATCCGACCTTCAAATATGACTACACCTTGCTGTTACACCCTGTATATTAATAATAAGATAAGAATAGTATTAAAATAGATGTTGGATTATAATATATGTAGTAAATTGAAATTTGTTTGCTTAAAACATGGTGAACGAAAGATGGAACATAGTATAATAGAACACATATTTTACCTGATTAGGAATGCAAAACATTACTTAAAATTAATTAATTTATATCACTGTCAAATTATCAGTCAATTAATAACAGCAAAATAATAACTATCAATGTCAAACTATTAAATAATATCTGCATACTAATTTCATATCAACAGACTGCAAAGCGCAAAAAGCAGCTCCGCCGTTGTTCTTATCTTTAATAAAATTCTAGTATGATTAAGTCGAGTAGATTGATTGATTTTATGCAGGTGGATTTTTCATTCATAAATGTCACAAAATTATTTAGAATACCAAAATCTCTAGAAAAGCTTTTTTAAGTACATTCTATAACAATCTGTCTGTTATTCACGGTTTTTTTTGAAATAAGAAAAATTAGCATCGCTAACGTGTAAACATGCATCAGCAGTAACCCTGATCCGAATAATATCAAACTTTGTGGTCTAATTTAAAAAAAAAATATCGACTCCAAATTGATAAAAAGATCCATGTGCTAACATTGACTTACAATTATATGGACGTCGGGTCCACGCTAAAAAGTGTCCGAACTTATAGGGCGTTAAAATCGTATACAGAGCGTCATTCACGCTTTAGTCTTCGTTTGTTCGACTGACAGCGAAGCAAGCAAAATTAGACAGTACTGCGATGACATTACAATTTAAATTCAACGTTTTAGCTTTTTCATATTCCTTTACATGTCACTACGTTTAAATAGGTTGACTTGGGACATTTTTTTCGTGGTTTTTGTATTAGACCCGTCGTTCATTTATTTGTAAGTCAATGTGTGCTAAAGATGATTTAAGTTAGTAATTTACAGAACAAAAACATTAACCAATTGTCGTCATAAAACAGTTTCGGTACATGCGAACGAATATTGAATTATTTTTTTATAATATCAAGTGACGGGACCAACAAGTCGTGCTCCTGATGGTAAGCTACACGCCTGTCCATAACAGTTCTAGTGCCACTTAGAGCTTTACATTGCAAAGATCTGAGGGGCACTGCCACTGCGCCCGTCACCCTGAGACTTAAGTTGACAAGTCCCAAGTGCCTGTAATTTCACCAGCACCCTTACCTTTCTAAACTGCTTGGCGGCAGAAATAGGTAAGGTAGCACTTCCCTGGAGGAACTCTTTCTTAAGGAGCTCTACTGCTACTAAATAGAATAGAAACTATTTATTTATTATTTGTAGCTGCAACACTGGCTTGTTAGCGATTAACGAGGTGGAGACCTACCAGCCGGACACGACCGTGTCGGAACCGACTCCGAACCGCCACGAGCCGTTGGCCGACCGGATCGCGGAGGAAGACGAGTACGAGGTGGACTTCGCCCGTCCTGGCGCCGTGGGCGACGCCGCTCCGTCGCCGAAGCCGCCACAGCCGACCCTGCCGCAGGGCATGTCAGTAGCACACAAATTATCTCTCCCTCCAACTATAGTATGTTCCAGTCCCATCGAGTATATAACCAGAAATAGAGACGAAATGTCATTTACTATTCTATATTTAAACTATTCTACCATATCATTACTGTGACAACTCCGCTCCAATTGGCTAGCCCGAGTTCGAAACAATTGACGGGTGTCGTCAACTGTTTCACTTCAAATCGACCAGTTAACTTGAGTTTTGCTATAATGGACGAAAATTGCAATTAATTACCGATTAAATGTGATTCCGTTTGTTGTGTGTAATTAGATGTTTTGCTGTTTTTCCCACACCACCGCCACATCTTTATTACAATAAATACTGAATATTTTTTTGGAATATACGGAGACGTACACACAGGTCAGTGGTTGGCCTGTCTATATTTCAGTGCAAACGAGAGTTGATATTTATAAGAGCTGTATCGCTAATGTGTTACCAGGAATATATGACCGCTATTTCGTCTCTATATCTGGTTATATACTCGATGTTCAATCCATTGTACCAGAAAAGTAAACAAACAGATCATTGACCCGACCATAGACAGTTTAGTGATGGCCAACTGTACCGCCATCTGAAAACCGATTAATTAATTGTATGAATCGATTTGTTTCATTGAATCAGTTGGAATAACCGGGTTTTACACAATAAAATGGATTTTGTGATTTCGCTGCTGATACTAGTAAATAATATGTGATTCAAAACTGAGTGGTGATATTTCATACATGAGATTAGATTGTTTTAATTACATACATACCAACCTATAAAAGCAAATTTAAAATCTTCGAAATCTAATTTTAAATCCTCCTTCAAATCCTTACACTTACATATTCGCTCGATTGTGATTAAGTTTTCGATTCACTAACCGATTATAAACACTTTGATTGTATGAACCAAATGAGTTATTTCCGTACAGCCCTATGTAACCGTAGAGTCTATCTATAATCTATGGATTCGCTCTGGACCTTTTGGAGGGAAAAGTGTCGTTTTTATTTTGACTTTCAATTATTTTGTGAAATCTAGTTTAAAGTGGAATAGGATAGTGCTATTGTGCCTTAATCGAATATTAAAACGCGAAATTATACGAATCTCGAACTAAAATACCCGTATCGGCCAGTTTTAAGGAATCCCGAGTCAATCCAAGCACGCTGCCTCAAATTGCCTATCGTCTTTGTGGCGGCCATGTTTACAGAAACATAATTAAACGAGACATGGCTCAAAGGACTTATCCAAGCCAAAATTATTAATAAAAAAATCTATAATCTATATTTGAAAAATAACCTCACTTTTGAAGTAACGTTTTTCAAATAAGATTTTTAATATGTTACTCAAATGAATATTGAAGTGATGAGATAACAAGACGCAATCTTCAAAATATACGTGAAAGTGTTACTTATTCCATTTATTGAGTGATTTTTTGTAATTTTAACCAAACATGTTTGTTTACTTTTCTGGCATAATGGACTGGAACAGACTTTAATTAGTATAACTGACATGAGACCGATTTGTTGTAACATTTAAGTGTTATCCATACACATTTGATTCTAAGTGTAATTCCATAGCATTTCAGTTTTAGTTATTTGAAAATGGCAATCCCTAGCATTTCTTGCTCGTTCTTCTCATGGGATTCAGCGCAATAATAATAATAATAATATAATAATAACGCACACTAGGGTAACCCTGCATCGCGAGTGCTATGGACACTCAAATAGACAACCACAAATTACACAGAACTCGGGACCTCTGCGTGGCTGTCCAGTATGGTAACGGCCACAGAGGCAGTTTATAGTCAACGAGAATTTTTTAAGCTACTACTCGTTCACTACGTTGACCTCCCTGAGAAGAATGCTATGGAATATAGTTTGAATCATATTTGTGTGGAATTTAGACTCGCGTTGTCTTTCCATACATCTTTATCTAACACATACTCTTCAATATGACTTTTCAATTAAAATACTTTTAATGTAAGTTTTAAACTTAGGAAATGGTAATCTAATATATGTTATTGTAAAAATGTATACAGTTCCCCATAAAAGAATCGTTTACCTTGGTTAAACGAAATCGTGGTACCGTGAGTTTGGACTTAACTCTAAGGTTAATATTATGGATATCTTCTTTCTTACTGAAATTATGCATATTTTTACGGGCATACAAAACATTTGAAGTTACTTTAAAGGTGACGCTTTCAAGTGTAAATTTATTTTACCTATGGAACAAGTGATTCTTTGACTTGCAAGTTAGCCTCGTTTTACATTTTGTTGATGTTAAGGTACCGATGGCGAATCGATCTGTCCAAGACCGAGCACCACTGGTCGGGGTGGTTCAAGGGACTGTCCGCGGAATTTCTTTCCGTGCGTGCACCCAAGCTGCTGTTGCTCGCTTCCATCGATGGACTCGACAAGGAACTTATGGTCGGGCAGATGCAAGGTAATTATATCATTGTTTAAATTTTGTTATCTTTACAATAATGCACAAATGTATTATTGTCCACCACACATGTATTTTGGTAAGCAAGATACTGACAAAAGATACTCAGTCTCGCTTTTGGGTAATTTTCAGGTAATTTTTTTGTACTCAATTTTGGTGACAATGACGAAAATATATATTCTATAAATATTTAAATAAAATATTTATAGAATATATATATTCGAGAGTGGTAAACTGGAATATTAAATAATACTTCATGATGATATATTCGAGTGATTAAATAATAAAAATTGTCACCAAAATTGAGTACAAAAATCTTACCTGAAAATTAGTGTTGTACTAAAAAGATTCAAACTCAAACCAGAAAGTTGCCCACAAGTTACGTCTATACAAATACAATACCAAGAACCAACTACGGCACTAAGAATATGACCTCAAAACCTGACTGATGACCGAATGGAAGAGATGTTAGAGAGAAGTCAGGTTGGATATTAGTTAGTACTTAATTTTAATTTGGATTAGTATCTTTTAATTCTATTTTAATTTCGGTTGTTCAATTGCTGTAACGCCATGGTGCAAACTGTAAATACATTCTAAATACAATACGAAAGTGCCAAACTGTACAGCGATCTTCCGGAGCATATCAAAGAAATACAATCATGCCCTTTATTAAAAACGACACTAAAATTCCACATTATAAAATATTATTCACCACCATAGGCAATAAACGCTTCCAATCGTAACTCTGATAGCAACTGTGTATCGCTACGTAATGCGAACTATTCACATGGTCCCCTTGTTCACAAATAAAATAATTTCATTTAAAAAAACTTCTTATTGTAGATATAGAAGCAGTATAGCGCCTTGTGAAAGGTTCGTCCAGGGTAGTACTGCCATCTTAACCTATTTCTGCCGCCAAGATGTGATGTGAGCATTACTGCGTTCCGGTTTTGAAGGGTATTATGGGTGCTGGTGAAATTACGGGCACATGGGTCTTGTCAACTTATGTCTCAGGGTGACGGGCGTAGTAGCAGTGATCCTCAGATCTTTGCGATTTGAAGCTCTGAGTGGCTCTTCAAAAACAAAAAACACTAACTTTCCGTGTTTATAAACATTATAAATGTAGTAGTGTTAAGTAAGTTCCGCTCTACCTCCAGGAAAGTTCCAGCTGCAAGTCCTCACGCGATGCGGCCACGCAGTCCACGAGGATACACCAGGCGACGTGAGTTCATATTTTCTTTTTAAAATATCGCACCTTATAATCAAGTGATGAAATTCAAGAAGTAACATTTTTAATAAGCCGTCACAATTAATAAAAAAAATTCGAAGCGCGCACACAGCGTTCGGTTTCTGTCGGCGCCAGTCGGGCAGCTCGATCGCGTCGCACGCGCACACGAGTGCTTTAATAATTTCTGTAAGTGAGAGGTAAAGGACACTAAATCCATATTTTAGAATTTAAATGTTTTTCACAAACATTGTTTTAGAATGCTCAAAAATCATTCAATGGAAAAAGACATTATTAATATCGCGGCCGGTTCGCCCGGTGACTAATCTATGCCTCCAAATAAAAATAAAAAGAATATCTACCATTGACTTACAAATAAATGGACGACGGGTCTAATACAAAAACCACG